TTCAGATTAAAAAGAGGAAATTTTTGTTGAATTTTCTCAAATTTTGTATAAACATTGAAACTGTGATTTATATGTTTTTTACTACCGGGCAGAGAATTTTGCTTTCTGCTGCCATTTCTTAGTATTTTATTCTACATAGTAGGTAAACTTCAAAGGTTCAAAGGTCGCCCCTAGGTAGCGAGGCCCATGTGAGTAAATGTTTCGAATTTTGATACTGTTTTTACTCAAAGAAACAATTTGTGTCTTGAAAGTATGAAAAAGCATCTGGCAAGTTCAGAACGAAAGCGTATTCAAAAGAAACATACTTGCTTTGAAGTTCTTTCAGCCAAATGCATTTTAAAGTAGTTGAAGTCAAATGCACAGTCATACAATCGACTTGCTGCTTGACCCCAATTCAAACTGAACATTTGAAAGCCCATTTATGTGTATGTCTGGCTGGAGCTGAACGTGCAAAGATGCTTGCTGTTGCTTGTTAGCTTCCAGAAGGTCCGGGTTCTAATCCCCACAGTGGCAACATGTGAAAATGATAATCAAATATTTTTTGTTTCTTAGAAATATGAGAAAGCATCTGTGAAGTGCAAAACGAAAGCGTATTCAAACGAAACTGACTTTGAAGTCTTTAAGCCAAATGCATTTTAAAGTAGTTGAATTCAAATGCAGGATCAGATAATTGACTGCGTCTTACGACATCGCCATGTTAAATAAATTGGCTCGTTGCAGGAGAAAAAGCGGGAATTTCATTTAGTTATTATTGAAAATAAAGTAGTTTATACATTACTTTCAAATTTATTTATTTTACTGAAGGGTATGTATATATTCCCTGAAGGAAAGATTGGTCCAATCGCTCGAAAAACATAGTCGTAGGTATAGTAGCTTTGTATCTAGACCAAAGATAGTCCAAAAATATAAAGCAATGTAATGTAAAACAGGTGAATTGTACTAAAAGTGGTCCGAGTGTAATGCATAAGGTATGAGTTTTGATCTCAAACTGGTTAAAATGGCATACAATAGCGGACAGCGGGTACAATTAGCGACTTGCTGATATGTAGGCACTTAGTCAACAAATTTTCATGTGCGACGTTGACATGCGGAGAGAGTATCCGCTTAGAAAATCTGAGAACCCCGGTTCGAATCGCAGCTGGCGCAAGTTGTATTTATTTTTTTTCCCCCAAAAATTGGTTACAATGTAATGCAGAAGCGGACAATTGGTCCGAGCCTAGGACATTCAATGTTAAATGTAAATAGAATTTTACATGTTGTTGGACCAAACTTTGGACTAGTTACAATCACTTGCAGTCTAGTTTGTGGTGTGCTCTAAGTCTATTCCGAGATCCTACAGGGTTTATTCATACACACAAATACAAACATGCATACTTATAGGTATAGAAATGCACATCATAAACAAGTTCAAAGTTTTAATAACTGTATAATTGCGAACAAAGTAATAAACTGACAAAAGCAACAACATAATGAAAATAGAAATGTTTATAGCAAAAAAAATCGATAATATTGGACTCTCGACTCTTAAATCTATGTAGCTAATTGGCGTTTAACTTGTTGTTGTTATCAACGTCGTTACTGTTAACAATTATCGATCGACGATCGCAGCTGTAGAACACCCCCGCGCCGTATTTGGGCTATTTTCCCCTCCCCAGAACGGGCTGAGCTTTTGTTCTACGACTGCTGATAATACGAGTACATACCCAGCAAAAAATTGTGCGACTAATCTCTGAAGAGAGTATTCCGAGATTAGTCTCAATCGAGTACAGTTGGGCATTAATTAGTCGCCACCAGTCTCATACGGGTATTATCCATGAACCAAAAAGACAAGATCACGCGGGCAGGAGAGTAGCCCGTTAGAATCGCATTTAGGAAAAAAGTTGAACGATTTTGACATTAGCCGTTTGTTTACATTTCTTCGTTGTTTACAATTTGGTGGTGGCTTTTTACTGCAATTTTCTTCATTTTCGCTTGTGACAACGTGTGTACACATAAGATAAAGAATAATTTAACACAACGACAGGACTTATAGAAGAATTTTCATAATAAAAATGATTATTCATGCGTTCACAATTTCGCGGTTTTTTCCGTTCTCTTCATTGTTTACTTCTTACAACAAAGATGGCGTCGAGATTTCGGCAGCTAGAAAATAACTTTTTTCGTTCTTTCCTTCCCGCGTGATCTTGTGTCTTTCGTTCATGGGTATTACTGGAGATGAATTAGTCTCGACTCATCGCTTACGGGTATAATTGGAAATCAATTAGCCCCCACTCATCTCCAAAGGGTACAATGATATCTACGCACTTAGTCAATGCAATTTCATGTGCGGCGTTGGCACATAGAGAGAATATTCGCTTAAAAAACCTGAGCACCACCCTGCAAAAAATGCCTCTAATCCAGGATGACTCCGGGAGCAATCGCAAAGGAACATGCGACTAATACCACTTTTATTCTCTTTATATGGAATGAACTGTTCGCTTTTGTTCGAGCACGTCCTATGAAGAGACTAATTGTTCTCCTTTATACCTAAACGGGTATAAAAAGCGACTTTAAAAAAATAAATTTAAAAATTTGCGCCAGCTGCGAACCCGGGCTCACTCTCTCTCGGTGCCAATGCTGCACATAAAAATTCAGTCACTAAGGCTGCGAACTCATCCGAACTCATTTAAGTGGAAATTAACTTTAATTAATTTTTTTATTTAAATTAGTTTCAGTTTCAATACGCTATTTATTTAAGGGCCGTTTTCTCATCTAACGTTTAGTTTACCGGCCACTTTATCGTCTCGATATACGAGTTTTCGTTTTCTCATCAGCGCATTAATTTCTCGAATCGATAAACTGTTGCTCACCCGATTCAACCTTTAAAATTTGTACCCAACTTTAAATTTTGGTTTGGTTTTGGTTCATGAGCCAGATATATTAGATATTTCAACCAAGGTTTTGGTTTTTGCTAACAGTTGCTCTTGCTCAATATTTGCTTATGTTGCATTGCCAACCTTTGAAATTTTATGACGAATGTAGTGAAGTTTCACTCTCGGAAATGTAATGAAGTTTCACTCAACGGAATAACAAATTTATTTTTACCGGCAAGGTAAGAAAACGAAAACACTTTAAATTGGGGAACAATTTATCTGCCCTGTTAGTAAAGGCAACTTTACTGCTTACATTGGCTTTGTTTCTTTTCTTTTCCAGCAGATAATTATCAGGAAGAAGAAGAATGAGAAAATTTTAAGAATTACGCTCACAGAGAGTGAAATAACGAAGAAGTAAAGAAACGCAAAACTAGCAGAAACTAGCAAGTAATCAGCTGATCGGTGTATATGACTATTGGAAATATTTGGCGCGAATTTTTGTTTATCCATTTTGACAGCTGCTAGTTTCTGCTAGTAAAAATTTTACTAGCAGAAATTAGCAGGAGAGCCAAAAAAAGAAGAGCGTAAGAACGAGAGGGAGCTGCTAGTTTCTGCTGGTTTTTTGGGTTAAGAAACGCTTTCCAGCAGAAGTTAGTGATAATTTGTGATAATTATCTGTTAAGAAACAAAGCTATTAGAAAACGGCCCTTAGTGTATAAAAAGTGGTTATAAAACAGACTTGGTCATCGAAAGCTTTCATTTGTACTGAGAGCTTTTGAAAGCTTTGGCACGCTGTGTTGTAAAAGCAGGGCTGGTATACAAGGAAGCAGCAGATACACCAAATTGTGGAGTGTGTATATCAGCGATGAGCAGAGAGAGCTTTTACTGTGCATACAAAATGTACAGGAAGCTTAAAAGAGCTTTGCCCGCGGGCAAGGCAGTGCCCATCAGTGGTCAGCTGATTAAACCTGTAATAACTTAGTCTGTTCCTTTGAACTTCGGACTAAAACCTGTGGAACTGTCAAACTACAATTTTACGCTCTCAAATGAGAGTAAAAGGAGAACAGATGCAGAAGTGCATAGGAACGCAAAAAGCACTATTTCCTGTAAAAACGTCAGACGGTTTGTTTACATGTCATTGGTACTACACTGATTTGGCTGAAATATCACTAAATAATTATTAAAATCTATACATATTCAAATATTTCGTTGTTTACTTCCATTTCTAAACAAATATAAGGTTCTTTGCTTTCACCGCTTTCTGCTTTTGTTTGCACATGTAAATCAGCTGATCGTTTGACACTTTTCATGAACTTACAGGAAAAAAACTCCGGACTAAATCCTGTAACTTCTGACTAGGAACAGTTGCTCAGTTACTCTCTCAAATGTGTTCCCACTTACAGGTTTTATGTCAATAGGAACGACTTCCTGTAAGTTCTGACTAAATCCTGTAAACCGGACTGCTATTGGAACAGACTAACTCTGAGTGTGGTTGTTCTGATTTAATTTTTATTTAAGGGAAGAGCATAGGCCACATAAGTCAAAATTAAAAACAAATTAAAATTGATTGGTGAAACTAAACGCAAACTAAAGTAATTTTCACTTAAATGAATCTGGTGAAACGCAGCCTAAGTGCGTACATATCATTAAATCGTCAATCGACCTGTTAGAGACGAATTGATCTCTAATTATACCCGTAAGGGATTTGTCGACGGTAATTGATCTCCAATAGTATCCGTATGAGCTTAGTTGTGACTAATTAATGCCCAATTGTACCCGATTGAGAGTAATCTCGGAATGCTCTCTTTAGAGATTAGCCTCACAAATTTTTGCAGTGCCTGGTTCGAATCGCAACTGGCGGAAATTTTTATTTTCATTTTATAAAATTGACTACTCCCGTTTTATATCCATTCGGGGAACAATTAGTCTCTTCATAGGACATGCTCGAAAAAAAGCGAACAGTTCATTGCATATAAAGCGATCAAAAGTGGTATTAGTAGCATGTTTCTTTGCGATTGCTCCCGGAGTCAACCCGGATTAGTTGCATTTTTTGCAGGGTATGCTTACAATGTGTATGTGTGGAAATGAACGTGCGCGGTTACAAAACGCTTTAAAAGCGCCGCCAGTTCCGCTGCCGCTGCCACCACTTGCACTGTTACAGTAATTCTGATTGTATTGCTGGTCAGTTGCCGCGGCTATTCTTGTTGCTCAACCTTTTCTGTGGTCCCCGAACCCCTTCTGCTGCTGTCATAGCTCCAAGTTATTCACACTTGCTTAACAGCCAGTCGATCGCTAAGCTGCTTCGACGCCTCGTCGATCATTTGGTTCGACAAGAATAGCCAAAGTGTTAACTACACTCGATCAGAGCGGTTGGATGTTCAATTTTTCGCTCGCTTTTCGATTTATAATAAGGACAATAAATAAACACGCTCGCTTTGCGCTAAACAATTGAAACGCGATCGGGAATGTAAATTGAAATTAGGAAGAAAAAAACGATTTTTATGTTTGAAATCTTGCATAGTATAGTGATTTAGTTAAAAATGTGAGTCAAAGAAAAATATGTATGTATCAATCTATGTACATACATATGTAGACATCAGTATATATAATGTCAAGATTAAGCTAAGTTTATTGAATGCTTCATTAATATCTGTGTTTCGAGCATTTTAGTTTTTTCGCCATTTTTCTGCGGAATAAACGGACATATGCGCGTACTACTGCTGCCGAAAACAAAAGTTGTTACTTTCGTTCATATCAGAGTTGTTAGTCAAGTTGTAGTGTAATGAGGTGAATTCTTCTTATGCGAAGCATCCTCCACGTGAATCTTACTACTCTGATGGCTTCTCACTTTCAGTAAGAACTGGTTTCAGATTTTCACAATGAGAATCTTAAACTGTAAATACTCGTAAGAATGCCGATCCAAGTCAAGTAAAGGAACAAAATAAATCCAGTTTTTTTCAGCTGGCGCAATAGCTGCATGCAGCATAATTCCCTGCGACTGCAACGGCATTGCAGTTTGCAATACGATATTACCAAATACTAGCTTCCCTTGCAAAAGTTGATCGTTCGCTGGCTTGTGCTAGCAAAAAGAAAAAAAAAACTTGTTTTTTCCTTATTATACGTGAGTGTGTGCGAGTAAGATATTTCATATTTCATAATACATATTATAAGTTATTTTTTTCACTTAAAATACCATGCTTTCACTTGCATATTTGCGCCGTGTACACTGATGGCAGAAATAATAGAAACGCCTTGGTATGAGCTGTTTTGGCTATATAATAATAATAATAATAACAGGTGAATTTTTTTGTAAGCGAGCAACAAAAGCCCGCTCAACTCCGGTAAAATTTCCTTTTAGCTACTTAAGCAACCCTGTTGGTATCTGAGAAGAAAAAAGTGATTAGTTTAACGGGATTTAGATACAAAAACCAATGGAAATGAGTAATTATGCAAGGTGTTTGCGTAAAATATATACATACATACTTATTCAAAATATAACTGCTTTAAAGTACACACCTTAGGGGACTGGAGAACGACGCAATTGGCAGAAGTGCTAGCAATGCATGGCTTCTAAACCTTGACAAAGCACAGGAACCATACTACAGGCATGTTTCAAAAGCAGTGATGGAAAACACTGGCTCCGTTCTTTATTGGGATCAGACGATTCTTTCTGATCGAACTATAAGCCATAACAGACCGGACATAGTGATACACGCAAAACGAACGAAGGAGGGGAGTTGACTTTGCAGTACTGAACAACAGCAACCTGGAGAGCATGCCGACGACGAAGAAACAGAAATATGTAGTTAGAACTCTGCGAGTAATTAAGGACGCAATGGAAATGCAACAAAGCTTCAGTTGTACCGGTGGTGGTTTCATCAACAGGTCTTATCCTGAAGAAGCTGATTTCTAGTTTGAAAGCTTTGAACCTACCAACTAAACTCGTGTTCCAGACCTAGCAAGCGGTCATTTTAGACTGCTTTAGAATCGTTCGGCAATTTATCAGTTAATCCTTAAAAAAAAACCCAGCCGAACCCAACTGCTTGATATATGTATATGTATCCGGAGTGGGTGAATTCTGATATTGAACATCGAGAACGTCCAACTCGATAATAATAATAACACCGGAACACAAAAAAAAATTAGTGTGATGTGCATTTGACCGGACCTACCTAATTTTCGAGCGAAGTGAAAACACACTAAAAGTGAAGTGTTTCGGAGTGTCTTTTGAGGAAAAGTGAAGTGATTATCGAAGTGAAGACTTTCAAGCACAATTAGGGGTGTGGAGATTTTCGATTAGGTTATTTATAACTTGATTGGTTAATCGATCATTTTTTTATCACAATAAAGGTAATCTATAACCTTTATTAATATAAAATTTATTGTGTTCCTGTGTAAATTTAGTGCTGGAATATCTTTAAAATCACACAACTCTAACGTTGAGGAAAGAAAATCAAAAATTACAATTCACTGATGATATTAACACTAAAATATAATTAATCGATTAGATTCACTTAAATGTTTAATTTTTGCTATAAAATTAAAGATGTATGAAAACTAAAATATAATTGTTATTTTCGTCAAATATTTACTAAAAAATTATCAAACTATAAACATCCATTCATTTCGGTGCGCTTTACAACTATTCATTTGAAAATGAAAATCAAAATGACTTCTTCCAAATAATCGATGCCAGATCGGAGATTCATTAGGCGTCTCTTTAGTAACTTTCTACGAAAAGTTACTTTGCCATACCTTCCACTTAATAAGAATTTTAGCAAAACATTTTTGATTTTGGTGAAATAAATCATATATTTCAAAGAAATTTTTGTTTATTTTGGAGATAAAGCTAATTTGTGGAAAGTGAAGTAAAACGAAGTAAAATGAAGTGATGAAGTGAAGGCTTCCAAAGTGAAGAGAAAAACTTCAATTGAAGTGACAGCGGCAGCACTGATGTTTATGTATTTTGACCCGCAGAATCCGAATTTGAAGTCAGTTTGGCCAATATACCTCCTAGATTTCGAGAAAACTTCAAAAAAAACCAGCGAGAATCGGCAATAAAAAACGGGGTTTTGAAGTTTTCTCGAAATCTAGGAGGTATATTGGCCAAACTGACTTCAAATTCGGATTCTGCGGGTCGAAATACATAACCGGTCAAATGCACATCACACTAATTTTTTTTTGTGTGCCTGTGTATTACTACGGTTGCCAGACATACTGATTGTATCAGTACAGTACTGATTTTTCAACTCTCTTACTGATTTTATTAATTTCTTCAATCAGTACGCTAATGTCCTGATTTGAAAACTTCAAAATAAACAGCGGGAATCGGCAATAAAAAACGGGGTTTTGAAGTTTTCTCGAAATCTAGGAGGTATATTGGCCAAACTGACTTCAAATTCGGATTCTGCGGGTCGAAATACATAACCGGTCAAATGCACATCACACTAATTTTTTTTTGTGTGCCTGTGTATTACTACGGTTGCCAGACATACTGATTGTATCAGTACAGTACTGATTTTTCAACTCTCGTACTGATTTTATTAATTTCTTCAATCAGTACGCTAATGTCCTGATTTTTCAAAGTTTGTTCTGATTTGGACTGAATTTTAAAATCTGGGCATATAAATTTGTAATAGGGGTCTTCTCACCGGTACTCGGTGCATCGTAATTTTTCCCGATGTATTTTGTTTGTGTAATATTATTTTATACAGAGAAAATACTTTCGGATTTTTTTAGGTTTTTACATACACTGGAATTCCTTAAACCGTCACATATTTCAGCCAATGTTCGATATGCGCAAGAAATTAATACAATAAAAAGAGCAATGATTTTATGGGCATATCGTCGAGTCTAAACGTACACCAGAGGAGGATATAAAAAGGGGGCTGACGTCACTTTTGTCGAGGGTTGTTAGTTATCTCGAAAATAACTTTCAGTTTAATAACACCAAAATTTTAATTATTGAATGGCTTTTGGCCACGGTGGAGAGAATACAGAGGTGGCGCCGACGACGATACCGCTACTCGGCTCTCAGTGATTTTGACAGAATCAGCTGTTTTGGTGACGTCATAGTAGAGAAGACAGCAGTAGTGATGTGCTCAGTCAATGCTTTCAAGTATTGATCGATATTCGGTAGCGATTTAAAATGTATCCAGTACTCTCGATACTCGGTACCAAAACATNTCACGGTGGAGAGAATACAGAGGTGGCGCCGATGACGATACCGCTACTCGGCTCTCAGTGATTTTGACAGAATCAGCTGTTTTGGTGACGTCATAGTAGAGAAGACAGCAGTAGTGATGTGCTCAGTCAATGCTTTCAAGTATTGATCGATATTCGGTAGCGATTTAAAATGTATCCAGTACTCTCGATACTCGGTACCAAAACATTTAGATTTCAAATAAAAGCACACACAGGCCAAAGATATGGAAAAAAACGGCTCAGGGGAGACTCGCCAATAGAGCCGATAGAGCTTTTAATACTGATTCAAATGAAAGATGTATATATGTCGGTTCCAGGCCATAACGCAGAGAAACTCTCACTTGTTTGAAGCATTTTTGTTCCAGCTGAATCGGACGATATCATTTTTGGAGGCCAAGGGGCAGATTCTATAACCAGTTAGCGACAATTTTCGAATCGGTATCGGGTTTGTTGACCTATGATATGAAATATTGTTACACCAGCAAGTACGATATTGATCCGAAACTTCTCGCTAACTGGTTAGATCTCCCCCCTGAAAAGCTGCTTCATCCGTTAAAACATTTTTCTTGAACCTTGGATCGACTAAGGTTAAAACTGATAAAATAATATTTTGCTGTGGCGATAAGTTCAAGTGTTTTAGCCGATATCATATAAATTAGTAATGAAAGTTTTTTCTAAACCTGAAATGCATATAATGGCGAGGGTTTAATGTAAATAATCGGTATCGGATACCGAAAAGGAAGTATAGGGTACCGAAATCTTTTTTAAGTATTGGGTACCGAGTATTGGGGACAATTCAGCACATCACTAGTCGCCCTCATTCTCGCCGCTCTCAGTTGTCAACTCTACGATGACGTCACGCTAAAATTACTCTCACGAATTCTGCTGCAATCGGCGCAATCTTGTATTCTATCATTCTTGGCTTTTGGCTACTACTTACAGTTCTTTTTTCTCAAATTATCTGAAATTGTAAAAGAGTTTTGCATACAAGACATCCCGCTGTCTTAGATATTTCTTTTTTAGCGAGTTCTTAGCCATTCAAAGTTTTTGCGCAGTTGAAAAAAGTTATTTAAGCCATAAGTAAATTTGGATGAAGTCTTTAAATAGTGGTACGTTTCCACAGTTTGAAAAAATATGTAATTTTGTTTTTTCAATACCACACTCAAACGAAGCAACTGAGAGGATCTTAAGTATAAAGTTTGCTTCTTGGCTCAAAGAGAGACCGACTTCTAATTAGATTTTTTATTTTTAATATTGTTATTGAGCTTTGTACCACATTTATATTTATTAGGAAGAATGGAAAAAGTTCAGTTAGGTTAAGTTAAAAGTTGAAAGTTAGTTTTTGAAAGTTAACACCAAATTAAAAATAATTTTAAAATTAAATGTAAAGAATTCTTGGACACTGAAAGTGGAAATGATTGCATTATTGCTATTCAAAAACTACTTTTTGAGCAAGAAACCAAACCGAATTCTATTACACAGGCCGACATTTTTCAGACCCTGGGATCAGCTTACACTTTTCCAAAGGTTTTTGATGCGCTGAATCTGAATCCAGAATCAGTTTTGCTCGATTGGCTCAGGTTTTCGAGATATTTGAGCCTAAGCATGCGAAAACCCCGACTTTTTGCTATATTCGTCGTGTATTTTCATCAAGAATAGCTCGTTGTTTTAGAAAATTTAATAAACCATTTGAAATTAAAATATTTCCCCTTGATAATGCTGTTTAACTCAACGAGATATCTTGTTTTAAACCTGAGATATTGTCTATTGAAGTTTATGAGTTTTGCGACATTAATTCTTTGCACAAATGCTTGAAAGATACAACACGAAAAGAAATAGATTTGTGGTATACGTTTAGGCGTCTTTATTTACATAATGAATGTATGTGTATAAGTGCGCGTGCATAGAGAAAACTTATTTCGTTTAAGA